TCTCTCTCTCTCTCTCTCTCTCTCTGCCCCCGGTAAGTAAGTACATAATAAACAAAAGCTGCAGTTTTGCCTTTCATAGCTCCTCCTAATGCTGAAGCTTCACATAAAGGTAGGCGAAGACTCATGGATGACAAATTGGCAGCATCGAATAGGACAGACAGGATGAACTTGATTTGTGCTAATACGTTTATTAGTGGAACGGGAAGCCATAACTGATCGAAGCAAACATCTTGTTTCCTTCCACAGTATCGATGGCTCCCTGAGCCTCTACGGCTGCAGCTCATGGTGCTTTCCCCACGAAAGAGCTAATGGCTTGTGCTCCATGGCCATGGCGATATAAGGTTCAGAGGCTGCAACAGTTACCGGAGCACATGCGTCATTTCAGGCCTTAACGAAACTTGCAGTACAGAATGAGCCACATCAGTCGCACTGACCTCCATTGTTGTGTCTCCTCTCTCCCTGTGGCATCACATTATCTTCTCCCTCTCCTTCTCCCGTTAGATAGATGAATCCACCTCGAACTCACCTCCTCCTCCTCCACAGGAACCAATAAGAAGAAGAAGAAGAAGAAGAAGAAGAAGAAGAAGAAGCGAGCGTCAGCTGCCGGACAGAGCCTTACGTCGTCGATGTATGGAGCAAATCAAAACGATTACGTGTGGAGTTTAGTACATAAAGGGAAGCCGGCCGTGGCTTTCTCATGCCGATGCCCTCTAAAAGAGCTGCAGCATTACTCATGCTAAGCCCACTCCATGTCCTCCAACATTATCTTATTAGTTATATGTTGCGTGCTGATTAAGAACAGGAAAGATGAGCTACCATAGGAATTCCTCACAGGATCAATATGTATTGGGTATGGTGAGAGATATAAAAGCCGAGAGACTCTTTCTTTTCTGCCTCCACTCTTGCTGATTCCAAAGCTAGTCGTCCTCTAACATGTTCTTTTGCTGCCATTAAAAGATGAGATAACAAGACAGCAGCAAGCAAGCGAGCACAAATGCAGCGGCTTGCATGTTTTAGAGTGCTGGAAGCAGTGAACTGGCCGAGCTAGTTAGGAGTCAGTAGTAAGTACCTCATGCGAGCTATTAAATGACAATCTTCAGTTCCTTAAGCTCAATAATTGGGTGTTGGCCTGCCACATAGAGTAATGTGCGTCCTTATCTTGGTTTTCGATCTATTGTGGCTGCTATCTGCGACCACAACATCATGTAGGACCAGTGAACACGTTGGAATTCATTGTGTGACAGCGATCGACCATTGACAATCTAATCGACAGACATTGGCAGGTGGAAGGTCAACTTTGTTGCACAAGAAAATGAATACTTGTGTGCACGTATTCTACTCTTCGTTCAAGAGATCGATATCAATCCTTGAGAAAACAAGGAGACTGAGTCTCATTAGATATCTAATGAAGTCATATATCATAGATATATCATCATCATTATCATCATCATCATCAAAGTGAGTTATAATCTTTGTCTAACCAATTATTGCCGCTTCTTGATGTCAATCAAATTAGTCTATATGTACTAATTAGCTCACACGATGAGAATTGTCTGCTGCTTTATGTCGCTCACAACAATTATACTGTGATCTGTAGCCCAAAAGGTTGTTTTGAGCCACTTGCCGATATGAATCCAACAGGCTGCTAAGTTCCTTTAGACACCACAAAGTTAGTTATTCGAGGAGAAAGGAACTTTAGGTGTTTTTTGTATACTGATCTTCTCTCATTTAAAAGAACATTATAAGTTTTTCTAATTGATATTACATGAGGATTTTTTTTTTAATGTTAAAGATAATCAATATGAATATGATATTGAAAGAGGACAAGAGGATAGACTCATATTGCTAAAAACTAAAAGAGTCAAATTTATATAATGGGTTTAGCCCACAAACTAGAAATTTAAATTTTTAGATTGAATTAGTATCGACTCTGATTCATCTCGGATTCTAACAAGCGACATACTTATTATATGGATATAGTCACCAATGCGTCGTTCAAATTCACTTAACATGAGAATAATATTAATGGATTTTAATTCCTAGAATACATATTAAACTTTGATGGAGAGAACTAATATTAGAACTCTTAAGTTGATTTATTATTATTATTATATTTTTGACTGAAAAAATCAAATAACATTTGCAACTATTTTGTCAAAAATAAAAACAAACAAAAAAAAAAACATATTTTTTATGTTATTTGTTTTGTGCAGGAGTATTTCATTCCATCGGTGAAGTCAAAACATCCATTTCATTGTCAACAACAAAACTTAATGATCTTATCCCTCCATCAATAACAATAACAATAACAATGCAAATTTTATTTGCATGGCAACTCCAAGAGTAAAATATCTTCTCCTATTTATTATATCTTGAATCAACCTCCATCGTAATGTTTTCTCCTTTTTATTATGTTGAAACAATAAGACTAAGCTTGACATATGAATCTAATTCATAAATCATAGTACAAGTCAAACATTGTCGCCATCATTAATACTATTACACCAACGGTGTCACTCTACTTACTACTGTTGTCATGAATAAAGAACCATCACAATCAAGAATTTTGCTGCGATTAGACAATCATGATTTCCACATTTTTTTTACAAGTAATTAATGAAGAAAACAATGGTAAATAAAAAAATGAACACCAAGAATGGGTTGATGTAAATTCAACTTATCTCACAATAAATTATGACAGTAAGAATAATGGTGCAAATAAATATATTATTCCACAGTGCCTTGAGACTACAAATTGAGGAAAAAGGTGGACGTGTATCAGATATTTCCCAATGCCATGGTGATGCGTACGATATGGTGGAAGGAAATGGAGGGGACCCTCGGCGAGTGCGACAAATGGGGTAGAGCTTGCAAATGGCACAGTGCACATCTCCTTCTCTCATCACTGGATACTGTTGTATGCTGCTGATGCTTAGTACGCGTCCTATGCGAGTCACGAATACACCAAACTATGTGGTTGTATGATACCGATACAGGGTGTAGAGGTTGGACCACCAGCTATAGCTATAGCTAGTAGACATGGAGGTCTGTACCTTCCATATCAAACAAGTTGGGAAAGCCACTTCCCAAGTGGGACGGACATCTTTCCTACATAAGATGTGGACTCGCAAACAACATTTTCCACTCCTGTACAGGGGTGGGTGGTGGTCATCAAGCTATCTATCTTCTTTCATACATGGAATTTGATTAATCTGGATGGAGGAGGATCTCCACGCCATGTAAATCTGACTGAAGCCACCACAACCTATTCCACAGGGGGGGAGGCCATCGAGCTCAGTTTGTGATCTTTTAAGCCACTTTTGAGTGGTGGGGGAATGGTCTCAGGGACAAAAGGCTGGCTGGCTGGCTGGCTGGCTGATAGGGGGACCTCAAGCTAATTCCTCCACCCATCCCTTCTCCCCTGCCAACTTTTTATTCCAGATGAGAAAGGCCTTGTCTTCTTGTATAGAAAATATCACAATGCTGTTATGTCAAATGGACACACACATAAGACAGTAGAAAGTAGCCATAGGACCATGCAGTTTGAAGGGAATCCCAACTCCTATACCTCCTCCTCTTGCCTTTTTTTTTTTTTTTTTCTTTTTCCATCCACGACCTCCTCTTTCTTATTTCCCCATCCGTCTCTTTATATTCTTCCCATGTTTATGTGGCATCAAACCAACACAGGTCTATGCAGTTTTGCTACGGAGAACCCTTCCTTCCCCCCCCACCCCCCACCCCCCTACGATAGCACACAAGCGTGCATGATTCCTTTCCCATAGGCACAGCCATGTATGGGAACGAACAAAATCATGCAGAAAGAAAAAGGCATCGGGGGAGAGCAAAGCTGGCAGGTGGGAAACCCCAGAAAAGTCCGGCCCTCCAGGCAAGCTAGCTGGGCATCCAGTTGCCCACACTCACCTCCCCCCTCTGCAGGCACCGAGAGATACCGTTGAGGCTTCACTGTTGGGTCGCTGTCTCACCTCATCAGATGCCTTCGGTAAAATGGTTTTTACAGGACTCCAACAGAAAAGGCTCTACTCTCTGCAGGCGTAGCTTCATCTCATGTGTTTTGTTAGGTAGTGGACGTCAAGCACCGATCGGTGCAGCAGCTGGTCCTCTTGCTGCTGCTGCTGCGTGCAAAAAGAACACTGAGAACACCAGCTCTCTCGATGCCGCCACCAACCTTCACCGGTCGAATAATTTAGATGCGCGTCTCACGCGCCCCTTAGTTAGGTGTTACAGGTTAAAAGAAAGACTAATCATCACCGATGATGATGAGTTTAGGGCAGTGGAGATCCCGTGTCCCGATGTGCGGCGGATCTGATCGAACAATATGTCCATCTGACCGCACATCTGCGTGGTATGGTGACCACACATCACCGGCCTCCGCCGGGTCCACTGGGCCTGCTTCTGGGGTCGCCTCGCACGTTTATTTTGGCTGCTTCGGTTTGGTCCGAACGAGAGCACATAGGCTTGAAGCCGAAGCAACCCACAAAGGGTTGCACAATCCTCGCCATAAGCGAATATTATTAGTATTAAGTATACTATATTTCCAAGCTGGTATTTCACGAAATACCCATCAGGATATTCTCTTCACTATTAGTAGTTAGGTTCCTAATACAGGTTCACATATCCGTTACTTGCCAGACTTCAAGCAAGCAAGTTGACACTCCAATTCACTAGAATTCAATGGTCTAGGATACTACAGAGAGTGCACATTGATACTGGGTTAGCCAACTCATATGCATTGATATGACAATATGCACACTGACCAACGATTGAGAAAAAGTATCAAATCAATATATCTCATATGTTACAGCTATTATAATTCATTATTATTTCAGAAACAATCATGTCTGGTCAGGACTGATAAACATAGTTTCGAAGAATACACGTTACTTCATTCCAAAGTCAATTTTGTTTTCTCAGGAAGAGAATTTTGAAACCAGATTTGCTATTATTCTGTCTACTACCATGATAGATAACTGAGAAATCTGGATGAAAACACTGTATTTTTCATTACTGTTAATCTACACTTAAAAGAGTAGTCCGATAGGCATTGTTTTTTGCATACAAGAAATTCAACGACAAACAATAAATTTGAAATGACTACAAGAAAAAAGTGTTAAGTTGAACATACAAAGTTTGCATGGTGTTAGTAGCAGTCACAACACACCTAAAGCATGAGGGCGATGACACACATTATGTAGAGTGCCTGAGATGGAAAACAAACATAATGAATACTTCAAATGACCATCAAACACAACTTCAATTTATCAGCAGAAAGTACCTGAAATAACTTTTGTCACGGCAGACAACTGCGAAAAAGCATGGGTGGTCACGATCATAATTTCCTTTTTCTAATAGATCATTGTATTACCAATATAGACTGCAAAATGCATTTTAACCATTTGATAGATTTTCAACTGCAGTGTAGTTAATTAGATTTCTGCAATGCAGTCTAGACATGTACAAGCAAAATAATCTTGTCAAGAAGCATGGGAAAGGTGGAAGAAACTTGAGTTCAACTGCCATACCATGCCAGTGCCTTCCATCATAAGCTCCCCCTCCGATGGTTGGCTATCAGAACCATATGCAGAGGCTTTGCAACCTGCATGCTGTATGAACAGTAAAGAAACTCACCAGCTATACACAAATCAGATTCTTCAGCAAACCATATAATCAGGAGCTATGCTCATCGATGTAGCTCTTATGAGTCAATTCATTACTGATCATTTCTAAAATTCTACAGCCATATTTACTGATCAAGGCTGTTCATTCTCATTCAGAAAATGGAAGTGTATTTTGCCATAAAAAATTTTTGAGCCAGAACCATTTCCAACATATAAAAGAGGGCCATATATAACTCAACAGATCCCAAGCAAACCAACTTCAGAAGCTTCAGCCATCCTTCCTGCAACCAGGGGACAAGTTATCAAGAACCTTAAACCTAGCCATATCAGAAGCACGCACCTCAGTAGCTTTGATACTATTTACTTCACTAAGTTCATGTTCATAACATTACCTGGACCAGTCCACAGATATAAAGAAAAAGCAACGACTCTGGGACTCGCAACTCAGTTCATCATTCATCTCATGCAAATCAACAGAATCATGTTAGCTTTCCATGGCAAGAACCTTCTCCGAATATCAGATGACTTGTCAGATTTAGATGAAATGGCAGCAATATTTAAAGCATGGAATTAACTAATTGAAAAGCCGGCAACAAAAACATCATTCCAAGGTGAAAATGATTTGCAAAGTTCTTGTCATCCATAGAGCAACATTCCAGAAAATTTTAGTAACATAGTATGACTCCATGATCATATTGCATTTTCTGCCTTTGATGAGAAGGGCCCCCCTACAGAACAGTGATTGTGGCCCTCTTCCTGTTTGTAGGGAGCCTTCTTAGATACCTTATTTCATAATAATGCAAATGAAAAAATCATGAAGCTGATGGGAAAAAAAAAATGTAGCCTGCGTCAACTTTCTCTCTTGAGGGTTCCACATTATCTGGGCCATGAGTCTCCTGTAATTCATATCAACTACTTGGGCACAAAATTTATAAAAATGTAGCATTATGCCAAGCTCTAAACCATGTTAACTTCCACCTGTGCTCATATTGTTACCTTTAAAACTGGAACATACTCCAGTAATAGGCCCATTGGATTGCCACTTGGTGCTAGTTGATCAGGGAAGGGTAAACAAGATTTCTTGGTCCGTAATGCTTAGAGCTTTGTTAGCTCAGGAGCTTTTCTAAATGACTTTACTAAGTGCTGGATTTCTATAAAAAATAATCGCCCTTGACCATGAAAACATGAAAAAATATTTTGGAATTTGAAAATAACTTGAAACTATAAAAAATTAGCTATAAAAGATACAAGTGGTACCTACATTACTACTTACAAGGCAGAAACCTTACATGTTGCTCAAATAAGCATTAGAAACTGGAAATTTGAAAAAGAACTAAAAGCATAAAATTCATTAAAATTAGAAAAAAAAATGATTGTAAAAGAAGTGCATAGGATAACAGCATAAATAACATAGGACAGCAAGGGCACCATTCATTAGCTTCCAGACCAAATTCACTGAGTGCACAAATTACAAGTTCCATTTGATAGAATCAAGAAAACAATCATTCTGTTAGCTTTATAAAATTAAACATGTCAGAAGATATTTGTATGGGTAATATGAAACGATGGCAATAACTTAAATGCACAATCATATTTCATTTCCCAGAACACTATGGCAATTTTGATTCAACATTATTTTATAATCAGTTAATGTTGAAGAGAGAAAAAAAGCATTACAAAATATGTTTGAAATGGCAAAAGATATATGATATCTTTCTCAACGAACCACTGTCAATTTAGCTACAACAACACTCTTCCACTCCTTTACCCTTATTACCACCGTGATAAATTTATAAAAACGTAACATTATGCCAAGATCTTCAGCCTTGCTAATAATTAGGGTGGTCGAGACGCATCCAGGTTTAAAAATTGGCTGATTCCAGTGAAGTTAACAGGCGCTCTGCCGAGGCGAGGCGAGGCAAGGCTTGAGCACCTCAAGGTGTGTCAGCCTAAATCAGGGCGTCCGGCAGCCCAGGTGAGCGCCTGGGCTCATCAATTTGTCAGGACTGGATCAGATCCTGGCTCGAGTCAGGTCCGAGCCATTTTAATTTGATCAAGTCCAAATAAACCCCAAACCTAAAGCAAGTTTGTTTTGCTAACTTTCCCGACCTAATACCATACAAAGATTGAAAATGGCAGCTTTCGTGGAAAGCATCATAACGCAAAACCCTAGTAATGACAAATATCACAACGATCTAACAAAATGCACTATGTTCGGATCAAATATAAATTGACTGATTGCGGTACCTTTATCAACAGTAGAATCAATTTCCGGTAGAGGAACACGTCCAAGAAATCCCATCGACAAGCTTGGATCGTCCCCAGGTTTCAGGTCACTTTCATCCGGTCTCAGCAATTAGGGTTTCAAGCCACCGCCACATGATCCCCGTCATCCGGCAGCCGCACTGCGGCGACGATGCGCAGCGAGCGGCAGTGGCGTGGAATCGCAAGAAGAACAATGGATCGAAGGAGATGAATCGATCGAAGCATATGGTTCTATCAAGAACCCAAGGAAGAACATGAACAGGGCTCGACGTTTTTACAGGGGGGAAAAAAGAATAAAAGGGGTGATCCGTTCCGCATATTTTCAGAAAACGTCTTTTATGATGCCACGCTTACTACACACCGGTTCGAGCCCGGAATGGCGCATGAGCTGGACCTGGGTGCGGTGCGGTGCGCCACGTCCCAAACTCATGTTCTAAATGCGACGTGTCGTATCCTCATCGTTTCCTGCTGGCCCTACATCATCACCGTTAGATTCCAGATTTCACGAATCTCAAAAGGATGACAAGCGTTTCGATCTTCCACAAACCCTAATATATCGACAGCTGGACGTGCCTGCCTATATATCTCGCGTCACCCTAAGTCAAACCCAATAGAGACGCGTCGGCGAACCACTATTGACGAGGATCATCACGTCCGCCGACCAGCGACCAAGGCCGAGAGAGGAGGAGCACCGTCGCGATGGGCCGCGTCCGGACGAAGACCGTGAAGAAGTCCTCCCGGCAGGTGATCGAGCGGTACTACTCGCAGATGACGCTCGACTTCCACGCCAACAAGAAGATGCTGGAGGAGGTGGCGATCATCCCCACGAAGCGCCTCCGCAACAAGATCGCCGGGTTTTCCACCCACCTTATGCGCCGGATCCAGCGGGGCCCCGTCCGAGGCATCTCTCTCAAGCTTCAGGAGGAGGAGCGCGAGCGCCGCATGGACTTCGTCCCCGACGAGTCTGCCATCAAGGTTGATCAGATCGTGGTCGACAAGGAGACGATTGACATGCTTGCCACCCTCGGCATGGCTGACCTCCCGGGCGTCGAGAAGCAGCCCGATGCGCCTGCGGGTAACGTCACTTACCCGTCCCGCCCTGGTGGGTACGGCGGCCGCAGGATCTGAGATGGTAGCACTTTTTAGCTAGTCTGGTTTAATGGTACCTTTAGGTGTTTGTTCTGATCAACGTTTGGGATTTGAAAAGGTGTTACCGGCATCAACATTTTTGTTATATTGGATGTTTTATACTGTAGTCATCTTCAATATCATCGATTACTCGATGCCCTTTCAATTTGGTAGTAATGTTCCCTACTTTATGCTCATTTTTTAATGCCCTTTGTTGCATTCGGCAAGGCTCCTAAAAGAGAATATGTTGATTTTTGAAGGAAATATAAGAGGCCGTTATGCTAACTTGAGGTTCTAATTTTAATAGAAGAAGCTGGTTCATTGGCACAGCCCGTGGTTCTTTGATACTTAATTCTTGCAAAGTATAGACATCAGATATTGAGTGTTAATCATCAGATTGCTTTAGCTTTTCTTACTATTATGTTTGCAGTTATGCTTCTTAATCTTACATGATGTCCTTGTGGAAAGATTTACCTTCATTTGCAGGATTGTGGCCGACTATGTTGAGTTCAAATGTGCCTTAATAAGATGGTTAAGGTGGTTAAAATAAGTGAGAAGATGCATATTCTTTGTGGATGCTATTGTTCCACATTATATTTTTAGGTCTAATTTCCCACTAGCTTGCATTATTTAGTTGTTAATTAAGAACTTTATGGTTTGACTAAAGTACACTTTGGAATGTCATAGTTGGTGAACTTGACTCTTGGCATGTGCAAATCCAATCATTTAATCACTGTGGAAGGCTTACAAACTTACTAGCTGCACACTTGCTTCATATCATTCCATAATTTTTGTCTGTGAGTTTTGTTTATGTTTCTGGGTTTATCCTCCTATTACCTGAAAATTTTATATTTGTACCTTTTGTCTAACAGCTAGGAATAACTTGATTCCATGTCTTGCAGATGAGAATTCCTCTTGGACATGGTCTTATTTTGGTGCTACAATTCTCAGTTATATTGACAATTCATAAATCAATGGGTTTCCAACATTTTATGTCAAGTGTAAATTCATGCAAATTTTGTCTCATCATTGGCTAACTGTAGTCATCACCTTCACTAAATTGTGACTAAAAATGTACTTTTGCCAAAAAGATTAATTATTCTCTATGCTGACTAGGATTCATTGTGAGTCTTGTCAGAGAGCAAGCAACCTGTAAGCTGATTCTCATGGGTCACTAATTGATTTTTGTATTATTCATGTGGCCTTCTTTTGTAGAAGTTTGATTCTTCCGTTCGAGATGGCTTATAGATGTATCACCTTTTTTTGCTTTATCCAATTGGCTAAGCCTGTTAAGTTGATTTCTTTCACATTTTACTCTAGTGTAGATGAAATTAAAATATATTTTATGAAGTACAGGCATTCACGAGTAATGAAGAATAGACAATTTCTTTGTGTTTAAAGTTGCCCTTGCCTTTTCCTTTTTTGTTCTTAATTTAAATTCTTTTAAATCAAGATGTCTTGAACATGTATGAGAAAGGTCCATTCCCTTTATTTTAATGACTAATCTGGTTAAGTTGATTCTTTACCACTTCATTTTAATGATGTGATTGATTTTTTTTTTCTCTATTGTTATAAATTTTTAAATGTGACCTCAGAGTATTTTATCTACATTTTTTTAAGCATCGTAGATGGTTTTACTCCATTAACTACCATGTCTTAATTGTTATCCTATCCCCAATTGCTGCCTGGACACTGCCTCATCAGTTTTTTTTCCTTTAGTTCCAAAGTTTGTAGGTACATTCACTTTATTTTGATCGCTAAGCTGGTTAAGATGATTCTTTACCACTTCATTCTAATAATGCGCTTGATTTTATTCTATGTGTATATATCTTTTCCATTGTTAGAAAAATGTGACACCAGAATATTTTATCTACATTTTGTTTAAGCCTCGTATATGGTTTTACTCCTTGAACTATGTCTTAATTGTTATCCTATCGGTCAATCGCTGCCTTGACACTGGCTCTTCAGTTTTTCTTCTTTAGTTTTAAAGTTTGTAAGATACTTTTTCATCCGTCTCTGTTTTATTTTAATCGAGTTCTTTTAACTTGGTATTTTCTGATACCCTGGGCCTTGGTATGTTATTCTTTTTAAATGAATAGGTCGCTATCACATATCCTAATAGTGGGACAAACTTGCTGTTTTCTTGCATATATAAATTTCTCTTTATACTCTGTTGTCTTTGCTCTTACATAGTTTGGAAATGATATTCTTGTCAACGGTCATAAACTTTGATACGCAAGCTAAAAGCCATAATTTGCTATTTAACTGTGAACGTCAACCTTTGTAAATTGTGATCAGAACTGATCTATATGTTGTTTATGTAGTAGAAGATTAAATCATACTTCATTTAGTTTACTTTTAATTAATACATTTTGGCTATGTCATGAGTTTCAAAAAAATATTTGGTGACTTGTTTACTGCTAAATGGATCTTAGCAACTCTTCTTGGAGAACTTCAGTTGTCCTGTTTTTAAAGATGTCTTTTGAGTTCATGTAATTGGATAATTTTGTAACCTATATTGTTGGCCTTTTCTTCTTGGTAATTGGATAATCTTCCTTGCATAAAAGTTGTCCTTAAAAATCCCTATGTAGGTCCCATTGGGGCTGATGAGATAGAAGACACCATGAATGCAACAAAATTTTTGGACAGTTGCATTCAAGTTATCACCAGTATGTTTCCTGATCTCATCATTTCACTGACTACTCCCAGCATTCAAATTTTAGTTTCATTTTAAAAGTTCTGTATCCATCTATTGCACAAATCTAACATCAATATTGATGGCAAGTTGGATAAGATGATCGACAACAAAATATTATATCTGGATAATCAACGGATTTGCTTGCCAAGAGGGCAAATGATTTCTCTGCTTGAATGCTACATCAAATGCAATTATTTTCCTGCTTCCAATGAAATAAATGTATGATGCTCTGCATCTTGTTCTATTTTCTGTGTGAAAACAACTCCTTTTATGAAGAAGAAAGCAGCATTTGATCTAGTTTATCAACTGTGTATTCTTGAAATCATTGTTCCTTGGTGGATGCAATTTTTCATGCTTGTTTTTTTCTTGTTTCTTCCTACAAGCCATAGAATCTTGTTTCAGAATTGCATGCTTGGGTAAGAACAATCGTGGCTGTGCCTATGTGACTTGCGGCGCTTGTGCATGTAGGTGTTTCGGCACTGTCATGGCTTTTGGTTGGTGATCTGCTGTGGTTGGTTTGTTTCTGGATTTAGCTATGTCTACATTTAGATTAGATTGTTTACTTCACGGCATGGACATATCACATAGATGTCACAAGTCGGTAATTAGCAATAGATAGAGTAAGCATCGCAATCAAACAGTGGATCATACCATCAATGTGGTTGCAACTAATCAACTGTTTCCTGCGTGCAAGCAAGAGCAAAGTCTTGTTCTTAAAGTGGCTGTTCCTTAGCCTATCCTGTCGCCATCTATAGAAGTGGAAAGGCCACCGACCAATGGAGGGAGCTCTATCCCAGATTCTGAAATGAGTTTGTGACTGACGTCGCAGTAGTCTCATATTCTGATGTAGAAGGATAAGTTTTTAGTGATAGAGTTGATCTATTATTTAGCTGATCAAATCATGTGTTTTGTGGAATATAATATTCTTTGTACTGTGCTTAATTTGACATTAACTACTATTTGTCAGGATCTTCAATAAGAGTCAACTCAAGATGTTGATGACTGTCAATCCGAAGACAAAAAGATGCACTATTTCCAGCGCATATCTTCCCCAGGTTTGTGTGTTTATTGAGTTCTACAGCTTTACACAAGCTACAGCATGCAATTACAAGTCCCTGTTTGAGTTCCTGAGAGCCACATTCGACTGTTGTTTTATGGTGCCTACTTATCTTGGGAATAATCCTCTTTGAAACAAGAAAAGCTTATTAGTTAACTTCATGACAGGCTCTGCAATCGTCAAAGTCGCTTGTATCAGAAAGAAAGTTCACATGAGGATGAAGATATGAAGAGATATCATTCTTCTAAGGCATGCATAAGACGTACCACCAAGGAAACCCTTCGCTTCCAGAGTCATATAACTTGTGCTTGAGCTGCTGCCACCAAGGACACACAGCATCACCTCCAAGTCTTCAGTCATGTATATATTCTTTCACAAGCTTGATGAATCTTGATAATTATAATTAGGTGGGCTAGTGCAACTATCTCCAGTGGTTTTGGCTTAAAGATAGAAACTAAGGTCAGCCAAAATTTGAGGATCATGGAGGGCAAATAGAGATAAAGATTGACCAGTTTGAGCTCCAACTTTGTCATGTATGACCAGTGACCTAATAGGCTAATGGGAAGACTTGAGACAACTTTCATATACTGTTCATAGGAATTGCTTTTGTGTTTCTAATCATGTATGGATTAAAGTATCCAATAAGTGAAAACATGCTGGGAAAGGTAACAACAGGTCCACTATAGATTGTTTTATCCCATTTGATCCCAACTAATATGTTCACTAGTTCTATCTAAATTGTTGGAATGAACTTTTAAGGCAATGTTTATCTCCTCTTACCTTCCAATCAGAACTTGACCAATTAGATCCATGTCTTTTATTTTGGTTTTATGTGTTGATTTCCTTATTTCAATTTTATGTTGATTCAATAATCATCATCACTATTATTTGAAGTATATTTTCTTTTCTTTCATTTTGTCACTCATGTATTTTTTTCGCTTTCACTGATTTGATGATCACTTAATTTTGTTTTATTTCTTATCTATATTTTTTTATTATATTTTTAATTAAATTAAATTTATTAAATTTACTTTTTAAGTATAAAAATGATAAAAATAAAATATAAATTCAAAATATTGACCAATTAAATGAGTTAGTATATTCAAAAAATTCGCCATCCACTGCATTTGAGTTTATATTATTATCGGATCAATATTTTAGATATAATATGGAATCCGTGCACAGCACTCGAGTTTATATAAAGGGAAAAGAAACAAAGGTAGAAAGGAATGAGAGCGCCGATTCCTCCCTATCCGCGCCTCCGTTGTCTCAGGGCCGGACCAACCTGGGTTGTCTCTCGTACTCCGGCAGTCCCAAGAAAAGAAAGGTTCCTCTACCGCCGGATTTGGTTTCTAGGGTTTTCTGCGGCATCTCCCACGGGTAGATTCCTTTGCTTTGATGTGGAGGCTCTGGTTTTTTTTTAATGCTTTGAAGTCGTTACCGTCTCCGGTGCCTTCTGCTTCGTCTCTTGGTTTCGGTGATATAGGCTTAGTTTTGTCGAGCCTCTTTGCTTTCCCCTGAAGTTCTGAATTTAGCTACCTATTCGGGGACTCATGGCGTCGGTCTTTGGTTCTGTCTTGTGGTTTCTTGAAGCAAGAAGTATACCTAGTGGTGTTCTCTGGTTGTGAAGTCGTCGTCGTCGTCTTATTGAAGTTTAGATTTTTGGTATCGTTTGCGACTGGAGACATGAGCTCGATGTTGGCGCCTGCATCTTGGTATTGTGTTCTTGATCGGGTCTCTTATCAGTCTGATTAGCATCTCTCGGTGTCAAATTACGTTTGAGGTAATATCTAATGCCCTAACTCGATGATTCTGCTTTGTTCCGGTGTTTTATGAGGAGTGAAGCTCTAATTGCTCTTCTTGAATCGTATGCCTGACTTTTGTTTGTTAGTTTTTAGGGTAATAAACTTTGGACTGGAGTCATTTAAATCGTATTCTGTCATTGTTCATTTAGGTATCATCTGGAGCAGTTTCAGCACCCATGTCAATCATTTAAATCGTTTCTCTTAAATTGATTTGGTATGGAATTTAGAGTAAGAAACTAATTGTCCTTTGGTTTTAACTAGCATTTCTTTTAGTAGGAGGCCATTCTGATAGCACATACATTTCTGAAGCAGTTGGAAGGAGGAGGAGACACTTTGTAGAAATTATAAGCTTTATAAGCTCAGGTAGAGGACTGGTAGTGTTGCAAAGGGTCGATGCCGAATGATGAGGGTGGTATAGTAGAGCAGAAAAGATGTGAGGGTGTTTCTGAACCCATTTTAGATTCAACCCCGACCCGTAATGGGGACGACATAAGAGGGGCAGTTATAGTTTCACAGGAAGACCCTGTGGATGGGTCCATGCCTCCTCTGGCGCTTAGCATCACTATTTTCCAGCCCGAAGAAGTCTCCAAAGCCAACATGAGTGCCTCAAAGAGCACAGCTTCTGAGGGAGGTGAGAAGATTTCTGGGATGGCTGCTTTAAAGAAGGGTTTTTTATCAAGGAGTGGGAGCTATCAGGAGCAGTGCAGGTAAAATATTTTAAATGTTTCCAAGGTTTTTTCAACATAGTTGCTATGCTTTGTTTTTGAATGAATTGATGAGTAGCAGCAGTTTTTTAGGAATAGATGACTTGCTTCAAGGAGGCTTGTAAAACATTATTAACTTCTTGGTAGCAGACCTGTTATGGCTTTTTCTTCATGTCATTCTTCAATTCAAACATACATGAAACATTCATCATTGACTTCAGCTCAGGTTCCATCAATCCTTATAAACAGTGTATCCACACCATGTGTCAATTGGTTTTGCACTGTGTTGTTTTCTGCTTATAGTGCAGTTAAATGTTTCAGATTGTTCTTTCAACCTCTTTTTCCCTTTGTGTATCTAATTAGTGATGTTATGATGCTGTAAAACTGGAGCAGAGTTTGTCAGCAGGAAACTGAAGAACCTCTGATTGATCTTGGGTGCAGATGCCGAGGTGAGCTTGCTAAAGCTCACCGCTCTTGTATTGATACCTGGTTCCTTACTAAGGGTTCAAATAAATGCGAGATTTGCCAGTAAGTCTTATACTTAATAAGAGATTTTCCTGGTTCCATTTGTAGAGCTAGTTTCTTAGCCTGAAACCTTTTGTCCAGGCAGATAGCTGCAAATGTGCCATTTCCTGAATCAAGACCAAGTGTAAGTATATCAAACCTGAAAGGATGTATAGGGTTGTTTTTGAGTAACATGGAGAGCAGTTTATTGATATTCAGCGTCACTGTTTACATGTTATGTCATGGATCAATGAGCATGGAAATCTTTTATCTTTCTACTTTTTAAGACTATGGTGTAAAACTTTGTAGCTACAAAGTTGGTTTTGATGTCATTCTCAACAAATTGGCAGGTATTAGTAAAATGGCTTTATAAATCTCAAACACTTTAAAGATTACTTTCATCTATCTAGTTAGCACCCTATGCTTCACCTTTTAGATGATATATGGGTTCAGAGGTTTGTTAGACTCTATAGGTTGCTGAGCAATCCAGTAAGATTTATTTTATTTGTTTTCTTTTTCCCTTTTGTGAAATAGGTAAATAACTGTCTCTGGAGGATCAACTCACCCTACGTCATGGGACAAGAACACGAAAGGGTATTAATCTCTTAAGGTTGCTTTAGCTGCAACATGGCATTGCATGATCTGCATAGATAATATGCTCTCTCTGTGCAGAATAAACTTCTTCTTTTTTCCCACCACCATTACCATCATTGTCATTGCCATTTTGCCATTTGCATTGTGTATTTTATTCCATTGCTTACATATTTAACTACACATATTCGGGTTCTTTGTATTATCAGGGATGCTTTAACCCACTTTGGGTTGCATTTGCCATTTTAATTGGAGGACTCTTGTTGGATGTGCTAGTCTCAGTTTCTCTTGGTGTTTCTGCACTGCCTGCGAACATCATAATCGGTAACATATATAGATTTTGTTCATCGATTTATTTGTTTATTTATTTTCAAAGTATATGTTTCACCTACTTGGAAGATAAAGTTGATTGGATGAATTCATGTTCCTTATCCACAAAGAAGAGCAACAATTTAGGGAAAGAGATGACAAAATTCTGATGGTGAATTGCCTGAATTACCATGGCATTCTTACTCTGCTGCATAAGTCACCTTTATATTACTCTGCTGCACAAGTCAGCTTTATATTAACTCCTCATGAGATCCATCATTACACCATGTAGACAACTTCTAGATGTTCAGAAGTGTTATTGCTTTGATTCATGAGACAGAAGTCTCCTTATTTGCTGATTCAAGGTTTCGTTGTATGCCCTTATTGTATAAAATCAACTCAAGATATTCACTGGGATAACAATGAGTTGCACATATCATCTTTACTATCCAATTCGTTTCCACCATGATCAAGTCCAAACACTTCCAGATACAACAAGGAAGGTTATTTTGCAGCCTTTATTTGATGGAAAAACGTTGGATGATAAAGGATCACCTTGATTAGACATATGCAGTATCACGGGCTTTGTTTTGATGCGAAAAAGCTCAGTGATGATAACCTTTTCTCTTTTTTTTTTCCCATATTATTGCCAAACATCTTGTTAGATACTCTGCATTGTGTATATGCTAACTTGTTCAGGTCACCTCGTAGTTTATTCATTTTGGAATTAAATTAATTAAAACAAGGAAACAAAGTGGTGTACAAGTGGGCAAGAATTCAAATTATTTTGTTTCAGTCAAGTGGCTTTTCATTCTCAAAAGGAGTTTGCTTGAGTTACTTCTTATCGAAGCTATTGTTCCATATTTAAGCATTAACAATTTTTGTGATGAGAAGTGTTCAACTTTATATTTAACATGAATATGAAATTTAATTTTATACAATTATTAAATGCTACATTTAATTCCATGTTCCTTTTGGTCACACCCATATCTGAGGAAAATTAACAATTCGAGTGCCTACATACAAAATGTAGGATTGAACAAAACCCTACTCGATATCGTTGTTTTGTCCATTTGGAGATCTTAACCTCTAGCTCCATTTTGCGTTAAAGTTCAGGAATTACATATAGAGATACATATCGGTCATGTAATGTAGATATCATATGTCGCAGGTGTTCTTATCGTACTTGGATTAGGCACTTCTTTTCGGCTTGCACTGGAATGCTGTCAAGGCCAGGGTGCAAGAAGAAATCTGCAGACGACGAATGTGACCTTCAATCCTGGGTACCATCCAACAGTGTAAGAGTTGTTACAGTGTAGAGTTGTTACATCCAAGAAGTATAGTTTGCGTGCCACTGGCTGTCTTTCCTTTTTCGTCATCTGTTCATATTGTGTCTCAAATTTCATTTTCTACAGGAAAACACCTTGTTAATCAACTTGTATATTTTGTGCAATAATTTGAACGAATCTTTCTGGTTGATGCTTATGCATGTATAGTGTATGTTTGATAGTTATCTGCTTCATTGTTCCTGTCGATGTTGGGCTTCTGGTTTCTAGGATCCTCATGTTACCTTTGTCATTTAGCTGAAACACATGGATTTCTGGATATAGTCATATAGCTAAATCATGAAGTTATATTAGCATGAAAAACTTTTCAATACCAAGTTCAGGCCAAATGTTGTTGATTTTTTTTTTTTTTCCGAGCTTATATCGATCTCATTTTCGTGGATGTGATCCGAACTAAAGGATTCATTTTGCTGGATCAAGTGGAAAATATAACTTGGTTGAGCCAGTCTGATGGGTTTTAGATGTGCATATTCCATATGTTCTTGTTTGGTACAATCTTATAGCAAGTTGATACAATCAAACATCAACTCATACAAAGGATCAGCAGCACACCAAACAAGCTTTCCAAGAGTTGTTCATAATATTTATTTGTTTAGAAAAGAGTGAGATGCCTCTAGAAGTCACCCACATGATTGTCAAAAAATCACTGATGGGCATTTTATTATCAATACAGTTATATTATGTTATGAACCCAATAGCTTGCAATTGAAGCAAATGCTATTTATCTAAGAACCAATAATACTAATGAATTATTTTTTTATTTTTCTTAGAGCTAATCTGACTTTTAGTCGGAGGTACATTGTTCTACTTCGTCGGATCCAATTAATTTCATTTGGGTGAATCGGCTCTAAAGTCATCTGTGTCATCCAAATTGACACAATTTACAAGCTCAAGGTATATAGGTCAACCATATATATATATATATATATAACATTTTGTACAAACTGAAATCTCAGATGATAAGGTGGGACAGTATGCCAACGTCATCCTCATCTCACTCCAGATCGAGCTATCGACCGAGGAATCCACGTAGCGAGACAAGGAAGCGGCGGCGGTGGAGCCTTGCGAAGCTGGCATAACTTGCATGATGTGGAATATAAATCTCTGTAGAAACGTCGCGGTTACATCACCCTTTGGTGTGACATGGAGCGTAAGCATGACGGCGACGCTGCAAGTTGGTCTCTAACTTGCAGCAATGCCCCTTCTCCTGCCCCAAAAGAGAGTCCATGTCCCCCCATGTGCAATTCATTCTGGCAGGTACCATGTGTCCCCCTACGCCACCCACCATGTGACAGCAAATGCTGTAACTAAGATTCTTACACCAAATCATCCATATTGAATGAATGACGGATGACTCCATTTGCATGTCGTACCAGTCTGGCGTGCGTAGCAGACTGCAGCGAAGCATCGCCGACCGACCCGATCAAAATCTACAGGCCGTGCTTTACCACGGTGATCCGCCAACGGTTTCACCGAACCGTCACCGATCTCAACGCACTCCATCATGGATCTCCCACGCCTGATCCCACCGTCATTTGATCCGCGGGTGAGCAACTTAAGTCAAGGCTCGAGGCACGAAATCCGGAGATGGCATGCGAAGAGCTCCGCCCCGACCGCACGGACCTCGGTGTCCTCCGCTTAACGTGTCCCACCGCTGGCATCCGTGTCGGCAGCCACCGGTTAAACCACGTCAGGAAACAGATATCTTCCCAACGTGTACGGCGTATGCGTTACAGGTCGTCGATCGACGCCTTGTGTACGGCTTCGACGTCCCCGTTACGTAATCGGAAGCCGGGATCGTCGAATTCGTCCGCGGGGGCCACACCGTACCCCAGTAGCGAAGCGGGTACGTGACTCGAAAGGTTTTTTCCGCCACGCCGAAATATCGACGGTTAAATGGAAACCGACGGTTGGAAGTTTTACGCAGTCAAGAAACTGTTGCCCACAAGGAAAAGACATACAAGAAGGATCCAGCCGATGGAGCAATCAGAGCCTTTGGATCTCGAACGGTCGGCCCGACGCTTCCTTCGGGGCGCTCGAGAAGGCGTCGGGGCCGTACGGCGCCACCGGCTAAGCCGGTCTCCGCCTCGTTTAAGTTCCTATTCTTACCCCTTTTCGAAGGCGTGCTATATAAAAGTGCCCCTTTTGTTTCTGCCGTTCCATGGATTGATATCACGGCCAATTCCGTCACACTGCTCGCTTCCTTTTTGATTCCGCCTCTTGTTCACCATTGGCTTCCTGTTCGTTTCTTCCTTAGTTTCCTGCCTCCCCTTCCGCTCGCAACATGGTAACGAGGCTTGGATTTGTCCCCCTTCTCTTTCTTTCTGTGGAACTTGTTCCTGTTGAATAGATTGGTTTAATCGTTCTTGCCATTGCTTGTTGTTGTTGTGCTTGGAATCGGGAGTAGACGAAAGAACGAAACGGTGAGCCAGTCGGCGACAGGCGTAAACAGCAGCAGAAGAGGAACATGAAGAAGAGGATGCGGATGGGGTGCGGCTCGATGGTGGGTTCGGAGCGCTGCGTCTCCTGCACCACCTTCAACATTCTGGCGCCGATCTACAAACGGGTCAGCGAGGGGGTGAGCAGCCCATTCTTCGGCTTCGGATCGTGGTTTGCCCTAGTTCCTTGTTTCTTCGAATCTTGATCCCGTGTGCGGTGCGCTTTGGGTCGTAACAGGACCAGAGCTGCAGGGAGAGTCAGTGCAGGGCGTATTGGTTGAGCCGGAACGAGAGGATCATCGACAGGCTCTTGGGCGATCGTTCCTCCATAATCTGTCTCCAGGTAATGATCAATGTTTTCATCAAAAAACAGAACGAAAAGATCGGTTTTTGGATGAAGGGTTTTGTGAATCTGATCGGTTTGGCATGGATTGATTTAGGAGGTCTGGCTAGGGAATGATGAGCTCGTTGATATGTATGAGAAGAGGCTAGGCGATGCGGGTTACGTCTCTTTCAAGCTCGCTCGGACGAACAACCGTGGCGATGGTATGTATGTCAGGTATTGATGTATTGTGAGACAGTATAGCTTTTTTTTGCATCAGTAGACGAGCAACATTGTTTGCTAGAAGGAGAATTTGATTGAAGGAAATCACATATTATAGATTCTGGTTCGTTTGTGGTTATGGAAGAGCCATATCGATTGCTTTTTCTTAAGAAAAGAGACTAACCATTTTTGTTCCTTATTATTGATAACCGTGATGACATTGAAGACCTATACTTATTCTTGTGGTTTATATAAAATACTACTTATGTTATTTTCTTCCGCTAGACTTTAAATTCTGATAGCATTAGCTGACTGCTGTAAATTTTTTGCCTTGCTCTGCAAGAGAGACAATCCTTCAGCCTATTAATCTCTTGGCTACTTTTTCTTACAAATTGCCTTTAATTTTGTGGCTAGATATATACACTTTGGAACTGTGTGGAACTAAACTAAGCTTATGGAATTTGGTTCAAAAAAATATCAGTCTTAGAGAAGTCTTCCTTCAACCTCTCTTAGACTAGTCTCGATCATCTGTTCTTTTTTCTTTTTTTCCCAAAATTTTGCCACTGTTAATCCAACAAAGAATAGAAACATATGCCAATTGTTCATGTTTTGAGATATTAACCTCCCAAGTCTGTTTGATGGCACAAATGGATATTCTTGAGTTATAAACTGTCTTTAGAATAGGTGTAATAGCTGAATACAATAGTCTTACATGTACCCGAGTTATAACCTGTGAGTTATAAACTTACATGTACCTGTTTTGTCTTAGAATGGTGGATAACTGGCTTTATTAGTTACTTCTTCCTGGCTGCATCTGTTTGCTGCTTAGAAGACGCGTGTTTATTTGTGAGCAGGTCTCCTCACCGCTGTTCATGGGGACTACTTCAAGATTCTAAACCATCAGAAATTGCTCTTTAATGACTTTGGAGATCGTGTTGCCCAGCTCTTACATGTTGAATCGGTTGTTCCTTTTTGGCATGGGCAAAAAAGCAGTGTCCAGCAACAAGTCCTCATTGTGAATACCCATTTATTGTTTCCTCATGATTCTAGCTTGTGTATAGTTCGTTTGCAACAGGTAGATTTCCTCTCTCTTAGCATTTATCCTTTGGCCATGTTTACCTGTGGTTGGACAATTTTCTTATTGGATTGTCACTGCCAGGTATATAAGATACTTCAACATATAGAAACATATCAGAAAGAGCACAATCTTGATTCTGTGCCTATCATACTCTGTGGGTGAGCATCACATTCATGCATTCATTTTCAGTTACTAAATCAAATGAGTTTCTTCTTATTCTTCTTCTATATTTTCCAGTGATTGGAATGGAAGTAAGCGTGGGCATGTTTACAAGTTTCTTAGATCCCAAGGGTTTGTATCATCATATGATACCGCTCATCAGTACAGTGATGTCGATGCCCACAAGGTCATAATCCATGTTATTATCTTGCAATGGTAAAGATGATGCCTTTTTTTTAATCATTAATTGATATCCTTCTCTTTTTCGTTTCTTGCTCTTTTTTTGCATGCAGTGGGTAAGCCACCGAAATCACCGTGGGAACATATGCGGAGTTGATTTTATATGGCTTCTAAATCCAAATAAATACAGGAAACCCTTGAGAACTAGCTGGAATGAAGCTGTATTTGGCATTATCAAGGTGAATACTATATTTCTGTTAACTATACCAAGGATAATTTGATGTTAAATACTCTTTTACCCACTGATAGTGTCTCTGCAATCTGTACCATGGAATCTATACTAAATGTCAGTACATTATAGAATCATTATATATTATTCTGCAATTCTTTTCTCACTGGTTTTGAAAATTTTCTGATGTTTGGCAAATTTATGGATTCATCTTTTGCACTTTTTTGTCTTGAAAAATTTCATTAATTGTATGCTAATCTAAATTGTTTGCGGTTCAGTATCTTCTGCGAGCAGCTTCTCTTGCAGAGGATAATGCATTTGCATTCCTTAAGGTGGACAGTCCTGGTGATTACATTACCTACTCTGGTTTCTGTCAAGCACTCCATCAGGTACCGGAAAACTCTCATAGAGTAGTGAGATAATTCTGAAATCATCAGTCCAAATAGATTTAATACTTCAAATCAACGCAGCTAGGTGTAGCTGGCCATCCTCATGGTCTTAGCCCTGAT